TGGCTTATAAACCCCTAATTCAAAATTGTTATGTTGATATTAATATTCCAATACAATAAAAAATCAAAGTTTAGTTTACATCATATATAACGAATGTTCCCGCACATAGTGCGGTGAGAATCTAGTAAATCTATATAAAGGGAAACATACAAATTCACCCTCAAAAGTTTCATATACTTTTAGATTGACCGATAAACTATTCTCGTACTATTTCCCCACAAAATGAAAACTTAACATCTCATTTCCCACCGAATGAAATCTTAACACTTATTTCACCATGCAATAAAAATAAAAATAATATTTACATCCAAATCCGTTTAATTTCGGTTTACTAAATACCATATATACCTTAACCACATTAACAGAAAACAAAACCGCTTCTTAACCACATAATTGACCCGATTAAAAACCAAACCCTATTTTAAACCCAATATTTTATACCAACCCAAAATTAAAAAACAAATCACCAATTCACAAAAATTCCAAATTCACAAAAATCCCCTTCTGAAATTTTCGATCAAGAGAAGAAGGAAGCCATTAGAGATACTTTTTGTTTTCTTTATCTTCTACTTCTCTCTACTGTCTCTCACCGGAGGAACTTATGTCTCCGACGAATCTTGAATTAACAATTTAACAAACACTTTATCAAAAAGAAAAAACCAATTTAACAAACACTACAAATCTCTGGCCAACAGAAGACGACGATGCGTCGGTAATGGAAGCTTTCATTAGCTCCGATCATTCTTTCCTTTGGCCACTACAACAACAACCGCCGTCTCTTCTTCCTCCTCCAACAAAACAACTACCGTCTCAGACCAACGAAGACCATCTCCAAAGCTCCAAGCTTTAATCGAAGGAGCAGAACAAAACTGGACTTACGCCGTTTTTTTGGCAATGCTCTCACGATTTCGTCGGGGAAGACGGCGGAGACGACGACAACAACAACGCTTATACTCTGTTGTGTTGGGGAGATGGTTATTACAAAGGAGGAGAAGAAGATAAATCTATAAAGAATAAATCTTTGAGTAACCCAACAGAGCAAGAACATCGAGAGAGAGTGATTCGAGGACTCAACTCTTTAATCTCCGGTGGTTTTGTCGTCTCCGATGGAGAAGCAGGAGATGAAGAAGTTACTGATACAGAATGGTTCTTCTTAATTTCAATGAAACATGGTTTATCAATTGCTCTGGTTTACTAAGTCAAGCTTACACACTGAAATTGTGTGCTTCAATTTCAGAAGATTGCAAAATTAGGGTTCTTCAAAATTGGGGATTTTTGAATTTTGATTTTGTGTGCCGTTTAATACAATTCGGGTTACCAATTCGATTTATTAACCAATTTACTGGTTTACTATCGGATTATCTAATAAACCAATAAAACTTAGAATCAGGGAGGAATGAGACGTTAATTTTACAGTCTATATGGGAGGATATGAAATTTTTGAATGGGAATTACTATGCTTTCCCCTATATAAGAGAGTATCTTATCTTTTATAAAGCTAGAGGTTGATTGGTTGATCCACAATCATCCGCAAACGGGCGGTAACGGTTATTGGTGTTTACGGGTGGTACTAGTTGTTGGCATTTGACACAATCATGGAAAACGTCTTATACCGTTTGTTCCATGTCGTTCCAAACGTCTCAAATCCAAAGCTGATTCTCTCGAGCGTTTGCAGACGGTTGCGATTGGATAATTACAAAAAGAAAAATTACAGATTTACTTA